CTCCAAGTAGATTCGTTCTTCTCCAAAGAAAAAATGCAAAAGCAATTTCATTAGATTTTTTTTTTTTAAAAAACTAAAAATATTAATAAATGGGCTTTAAGGCCCAAATATTTGAAGCCCAATAGGTTATATTCTGGCCTTGTAATGAAATTAATCGAGAAGGTTTCTTGTTTCTTCTTCACCGATGCAGAAACTAACGGAGGAGAGAAACCGACGATCGGACGCAGGAGAAGGAAGCAATGCTTGGGCTCTCTTATGGCGAGCTTTTACTCATCATCGGTGCTACTGCTGCTGTTGTAGGTTAGTTTCTCTTCAATCTCTGGTTTAACATTTCTCAGAAAACGATTTTTGCTTTAATCGGATTTTTTTCCTTATAGATTTGAATCGGTGACTTTCCAATTTTTTCAGGGCCGAAGGATCTTCCGATTATAGCTAAAGCAGGAGGAAGATTATTCGGAAGAGCAATTGGATATATCCAAATGGCTCGTGGCCACATGGATGGTGTTATGAAACAACCTCAGATGCAAGAGGTTCGATTTCATATTCTGTTCTTGATTTTTCCAATTTCAACATTGTTCGTTTGAAAGTAATCTTGAATCAAAAGGACTTGTGTAGAAATGGTAGCTAAAATCAATCGCATTTGTTTTAAGCATTATTGTTCTTTGAAGTTATTACACAAAACATGTAGAGAAGTCTTGTGATCTTTACTCTCGTACTTGTTTAGCTATCGAAAAACGTTCAAGATTTGCAAGCACAATTGGATGCTATTAGCCATGGAGCAAGATTCTCTCTGTTTCCAAGTCCTTTGACTCGAAGAGTGGATAACCATTCACCTGAATCTAATCCAAGCACCAATGGTATAAGAAATAAAACCAATCACTTCTTTTCCTGCTTATTGTTATGGTTGTTTCTTATCTGGTTCTGTATTTTGTAGGGAATGTTGGATCGATCAATGTTGAAGAAAGACAGAAGCCTGCAGATCATTGGAAAAGGGTATGTTTATGTTATGAATCCTTCTTGATCCATTTGATTTCTCTTTTTTATTTATATAATTGTGTCATTCATTCACGCTCTTTTCTTTCTATGTCCACAGGTTCAAGAATTTAGTGGCTCATCGTCGCCTTCCGTTAACCTACACGCCCAAGCAACAATATTTGCACGATTATCTGAGGCGGTTAATGGCAAAAGTCATACGCTAAGTAGTGATTCAGGTCTCTCACCTGTTCTTCCAGTTTCAGCTGAGATGGCAAAGCTGCTTCCTCATCACAATGGTAGAAAGAGTTTCTGACTCTTCGTTATGTTTTTTGTTTCCAAATCTTCTGGACCGTAGTTTAGAAAACCAAAGTTGCTCTTGGTGAGTAAAAAAAAGACTGTAACTTTATCCAAATTCATGTGGTTGCAGAGAGTGCAAGAGGATCTGATATAATGTTGGAGGCAGTTCTTGAAGCGGAAGTAGCACATAACGCGAAAAACTATTTCGCACAAGCCGAAAAAGAAATTCCAGCTTTAAAAGGTGAGACATTACCTCTCCTCTCTGATCTACTCCTCTTTAAGTAAAGGAATCAAGCCGCTACATTTGTAACTCAAACTGCAAGCTCGCATAAATTAAACTGTGAACCGCGGTTGCCTTACCGCGTTGTGTGATTGTGACTGTTGTAGATGGATTAGGTCAATTGGCACCACCGCCGGGGAAGGTTCCCGGTGATAGGAAAGGAGAAAGTTGAAGTCAAGTTTTGGTGGTCATCGATCACAACACACCGCCTTAGATGTTTCTCAGTGAAAGACATGAGGCCGACTGTTGCAGTCGGTATCATCAAGAGTGTTGACAAGAAGGACCCAACCGGAGCCAAGGTGACCAAGGCTGCCGTCAAGAAGGGTGCCAAGTGAACTATTCTATCATCATCATTTACTGCAGATGAATCATCGAAGAACA